CTGGGGACCCGCAGTGGCAGCGGGGGGCGCTGCGATCGCGTGGGCTCCGCCCCTGCCCCTGCAGGACACCTCTGGCTGAGGCGTCCGGCCCGGGCAGCGGGGACCTGCAGTGGCAGCAGGGGGCACTGCGATCGTGCGGGCTCCACCCCTGCCCCTGCAGGATGCCTCTGGCCGAGGCGTCCGGCCCGGGCAGCGGGGACCCGCATTGGCAATGGCCCCGCGATTGTGGGCTCCACTTTAGTAGGCCCAGGCAAAAGACCCCTAGCTCCCGGGACTGCCAGCTTTGACCGTGCCCAGCTCCCATCGCTGGCTCCACCCCTACTTCCTGCTATCACTGGCCAGGGCGGTAAAGGCACCTGATTCTCCGATCATGGCTGGGGCCCAGGGCCGCCTTTGCCCTTCCCCCCAGCTCTTAGCTCCCCCCTGGGTTGCCGATCACTGTCAGTGGCAGGGGGCTTCTTCCTGCTTTCCCTTTCGCCTCCCTGCATTGTGCCTACATATGCAAATTAACCGCCATCTTGTTGGCAGTTAACTGCCAATCTTAGTTGGCAGTTAATTTGCATATAGCCCTGATTAGCCAATGAAAAGGGTAGCGTCGTATGCCAATTACCATTTTTCTCTTTTATTAGTGTAGATGTGTTTATATGTTTGCATGTATACAGATGTATTTTCTCTACCGAGATAGAGAAGGAAGTTGTTCTAGGTACATAAGCCTATGTGTTGTACTGTCGAGTTGGATGCCTAATTTTAAAATTATTTGAAAACAAAGCTTTAAAATATAATTAGTTGAGAGAATCACTCCTGAGATTTACATAAAGCAGCAGAATGAAGTACTTAGCTTACCTTGGAATGAAGAATGCATCTATCATACCCACCAATAGATGACTTAGGAACTGGGCTTGAAGTGACTCAAGGACACGCCCTGACTTTCACAGTCATGACACCACATCCCTCCAGTTGCCTATGCTGTGTCCCTGCTGAGGCTAAGCCATTTGTTCTCTCGCAATCTTTTCCCCTCCCACTCTGTATCACTTCCTCTCTTTTCCTCCCATTCCAACCACTCGTTTTAGAAATATGATCTTATATTATGTTTCATAATTTTTCCTACTAAGAACTTTCAGAAGAGGCAGGTGGATCTTTTTCAACCTATGGAAATCAAAGATTTGTTGAATTAATGTTTAGCAAGAAAGTTTGTAATAATAAAATGTTCATATTTTTCACACTCATCAGTGATCTCCACTAGTGGTCTATGGCACAATGTCCATGGAAATAGTCCTATTCCCATCCCATGTTCTTCTTACACTGACACTCAAAATGGAAGCCATTCACAGCACCTGACCACTGAATGGCAAACTGATAGTGAGCTGCTGCCCTACCTGCTCCCCTGCTCCTAGAATCTCCAGAGGTCAGGGGGCCCTTTACCTATGTGTTTGTAACCTCCCATCCCAAGTTCACTTCCTCCCAGAGTTCCTCTGTGCACGGGAGTAAGGAATTTCAAATGTACAGGCAGAGGCTCCTTCCATGGGAATGAGGGCCCACCACAGAGACACAAAGGAATTTGTGAATTTTATACCTTCCTTTTGTGGTATAATTTGAGACTAGTTCTGATAGAACAAAATGTAGAGCAGTGGTTCTCAACCTTCTGGCCCTTTAAATACAGTTCCTCATGTTGTGACCCAACCATAAAATTATTTTCGCTGCTACTTCATAACTGTAATGTTGCTACTGTTATGAATCGTAATGTAAATATCTGATATGCAGGATGGCCTTAGGCGACCCCTGTGAAAGGGTCGTTCGACTGCCAAAGGGGTTGCGACCCACAGGTTGAGAACCGCTGATCTAGAGGAAGTTTTATTTTTTTGTTTGTTCGATGTTTCTCTTTTTCATAGTTGATTAAAAACACAACAAAAACAAAGCAAAAGAAAAGTATCCATTTTGTAAATGTTTTATGAAAGGAGAAATAACTATGCCACTAATTGGAATGGAATAAAAGTATCCAGAATAATTTTTAAGAATTCCATTTTTGTTACAACCATTGCTAGAAAAGGACTGTTAGGCAATTCCAAAAACCTTCATGAATAATTAACTTTCCTGATATATAATTTAAGTCAAATAAGCACTCCATTTTTAATCTATTTCAAGAATGGATTTTATGGAGTCCATTCCCAAGGGCTGGGATGATGTGTTTATGGTCTTTGGATCATGTCCTCCAAACCCGTGCAAAGAACAGGAATTCCTGACTCATTCTTTGGGTCTGAGAGGGATAGCATCACCTGTTAAGAGTTTCCCGGTCACAGTTGAAGTCATTTAGATAATTCTGCAAGTGGTTCTAGAAATATTATGAAATGATAAAGGGAAAAATTATAGGTGTAACTTTTAATAAGCTGGGAACACCTGAATGTGGTAGTCTTTTAAAATTCAACAATTTTATAGAACACATACCAGCATTTTGAATGATATATTAACTTCTAATACTAAATTGTCTCTGGGGATTTAAGATTATAGCTACTTTATGAAATTCTTATATTTTCTTCTTCTTTTGTAGGTAACCCATTAACTAAGAGTAAATCAAACGACCCTCAAGGCTGATTACATTGAACATATGCACAGAAACTTAACTTCTCTGGTGGTCTTGAAGGAAGATTTTTATACTGCTCTGAAGAGGCACTCCAGACTCTTGTTTCCAAGGGATTTTATGGCTCGTAATCAGCATCTTCTTGAAATCAAGACTTTAAAAAAGTCAGACATGAACTTCTGTGTCATGAAGAGTTCATCAGATTTGAACTGTGTTCAATTGTAAAATTGCACTTCCTAAAAGAATTTGAAGTCGTCATCTGAAGAGTTGGTGCTTCCGGGCGATGTCAGAGACACTCGCATTTTGGGCTCCTGGCTCCAAATGTGACTGCTTTTCTTGTTCCTGAAAGTCTCCCAAATGCACTGGCCTTCTGTCATGGATGTGTTCCTGGGTCTGGTCCTGTGTTCAATGGCTAGTGGGACTGTATATGGCTTTAGTGACATTTCCTCTGCAAACTTCTCTGGCATGGTGTGGACTGAGATCATTTTATTTGTATCCTAATCTTGGAGCTCTGAAAGCCTACATGTTTTAACATCTTAAAGTTGCTTTTGTTAAAGGAATGGAAAAATATATCCATTGATAATAATTATTGTTGGCAAGTAATACTTATCTGAATACATCAATCACCTAAGAATGTATAGACTAGCTGACATGTTTCCCCAAGGCTAACACTCTACTGCAGCTCTCTGTCAGTTAACTAGGTAGAAGTTAGAACTGAATTACCATTTTCATTGTATACTATTTTGTACCTCTAGAGCACTCTTCCTTTCTTTCTTTTTTTTTAAGTGGGCTGTTTTCTTTCCTTTTCATGTTTACTTTTTTCCTTCACAGAAATCAGCAGTGAGCAGTCAAGTATTGAGTTAGGTAGCCTTCAGTTTCAAAAATTTCCAGGGATGCATGTGGGTTTCTGATTTCTTAGCTTGAAAGTTATTCATTTACATTTATTACATTTTAAAACTGTTCTTTCTATCTCATTTTAGAAGACTGTCTCTTGCTCGATCCCAATGACTGTTTGAATGCTGTTTGTCCAGTCTGTAGATAAAATAAATTGTCATTTTCTTTGGTCTCATATTTATAAATATTTGCTTATAGTAGTCCCATTTGAACAATTTCTTAGGTTATTTTTTGCTCACATTTTTGTAGTAACTTTAACATTTGTGGTTTTCAGTTCTATAGGAAAATCATATAAATATTTAAAGGCCTTAAACATGTATGTACCTTTTTTCCTAAGTTATTACAGAATGTATACTTTTATACTACATTTATTTTGTTTCATTTATGATGTGAAGGAAGAGAAGAATGGAAATTGCAAAGCTATTCTGTAATAATATTGTATAAACTTACAGTTTGAAGGAATGTAAATGGAGGGACTTCTGTGTTTTACTCATCTTAGACTAATAGGAAGGTACTTCAGAAATTGTCCTATTAGAAACTCCATTATGTTAGAGAAGGTGTGGACATCTTTTGTGTTTCTAAAACTCACTGACGTGGCCAATTAAGTATATGTTGGTTTCCATGATGGAGGCTGAGCCGCCTGAAGACCTTTGGTGTGTTAGTTGGTAACAACTTTCAAAGACTGATAGAAACTTTTCTGGGCAAAACAACTAAAAGTGGTAAAATTTGTTTAAAGTTAAATTTGTAAAGTATGCTTTTGACATTGAACTAAAGAATACTGCCCTCTAAGTCAATGAAATGACTTACTCCTTTTATTTTAATTATACATAAAACTAGATGGCTCCACATGGATTTTGCAATGGTTCAATACTGTATGAACGTTAAGACAGGAATAACAGTTGTGCTGGAGTTTCTGCATCAATTAATCATTAATTTGTTTGTAACAAAGAAGAAAACCATATTACTTTGGAAATTACAAATTTGTTCTAGATTGGTTTGAAATTATAGATCATGCATCTCATTTATTAAACCATGTTCTTTAAAACAACACTGAAAATTCTGTACTATATATGTGTAATACATGCATATCAATAGAAAAAAATAAATGGAATTTCAAATATACTAACTAGATTATCCCCAATAGAATACTGTTGTGACTATTCAGAAAAGTGAATAAAATTGGGATATAAAATAGAGTCTCTTTCATGAATTACATTTTGAGAATCTGTTTTCTAGGGTTTTATTTTAAAAGCACTTCAGTTACAATCCAGGAAAACCTTTGAATTCATGTGGAAACTGACATAATGTCTTCAATTTTTATAAAATGGGAATCCATGGCAAGTCTTGCCATTTACACGGGTCCCAATATTTGATAGTTTAAGATTCACAAGAAGTTATGAAAATAGCACAGAGGACTCCAGGTGCCCTTTCTCTGTCATCCCCCAGTGATAACATCTTATGAAACCATTGTCAACCAAGGCCATGATATTGGCAGAATAATACTAATAACTCAAACGCAGACCTTATTCAGATTTCTCCAGTTTTCACATGCACTATGTGTGTGTTTATGTGCATGAGAGATCTTATCCCCTTTGGGCAATGTGGTACCTATCCGCTATAGTATGCCGGGATGTGGGTTGGAGTATGAGAGTATGTATGGATGAGGAACTAATTAGTTTTTTAGGTTCTCTATTTTTGGAATAACATTCTTTAGATTTTATTTTATTTTTATATACTCTTGTTGCCTTAACACATAAAAGCTCCTAGTTTTACCACCAGATATTATCATGTATATGACTTTAAGTTTGGGATTAGTTTTGATGGGTAAGAGGAGATCTGAGAGAAACTGAAAATCTCCATAGTCGAGTTTACTCCTGTTCTTTAGTTGCATCGGCGAGTCCTGTGCTACTCTACGAATGCTGTACAGGTGGATTGTGGCTTTTGGCAATACACTGCAGCTAATAGCACAATGGTTAAATGGGACTTTTAAAAAGTTTTTTTTTTTCAGTTTATAGAAGATACATCAATTTGAAAGAGTAATTTATGCAACTATATCAACTAGTATTTTTTATTATCTCTCATTTGGACTCAAGTTGAGAGAATTAGAATGATGGGGATACTTTGCTCAGAGAAACTGAAAAGTTGGGAAGACATGTACTGGGCATCTCTTGCTCCCCTTACCCACATAGAGAACTCATAGATCATTACTATTTTTACTAAGGTACGAGTTTGTCTATTTGCCTTTTCTTTTTGTTCTTCTGTTCTTTCTTCCTTTTCTTCTTCCTCTTTTGTTTTGTATATAGAATGCCTTGAAAAACAGTAGATACCAGATTTCTTCTTTACCACATTGACTTACACTGTGAAAGACTACAAAAAGTAAACATAAAAGGGACTAAAAACATTCCAGGGGAGAGATCATGTGGGCCTGCAACACAGGTATGTGCCCTTGTCCGGGAATCGAACCCATGACCCCTCTGGTGCCCAGGCCAATGCTTTAACCACTGAGCAATGCTGGCCAGTGCTGGTTACGAGTATTTTTTAAAAAGCTCTCCAGGATATTTTAAGCATCTATGGTTAAGAACCACTAATTAAGGGGTTTTCCAAAGTGGAAATTAGGAGTTGGGTGAAAAGATTGGGCAAGTGAAAGGGAAATGTGGATGAGAACTCCATAAGGTCCTGAACCTACTAACATAGGGTTATAGAGCTTCAGTTAAATATAAGGTAAAAACATGAATGAAAAGCAAACTGAGTGGCAAGTGGAGACCATAAGTTTATTGTTTAAACATATTGAGTTTAAAGTGCCAATGATACTTTCAAAAAGGTCATGTGAGATAGGAAGTGAGCAATTTTTTATTTGATTTTTAATGAGAGATTATTGTTGGTCATGGAAAGAGCAGTTTCATGAAGTGCTTATTGTAAAACTGAGTTTAGTAGGTTGGAGAATGAATGAGAGATTTGAAAGTGGAAATAATAAGGTAAATGTCTCATTCATTGAGGAGTGAAAAGAAAAGGGCAGTGGTTATGCAGGGCAGGCAGAATTGGAAGGGTGCATTTTTCTTAATAAGGGAGAAATTATATATATGTATATATACATACACACATACATATTGCAAGGGAGAGAGGGAGGAAGGGGTTAAG